TGTAGATGTCTGCACATGGGAACTTATTGGTGAGTGGCTAAAAACCAACACATCAACAAAAATAAATCAAAGCCCTATGATGAAGCCCCATTTGTTCCATAAAGTCCCTAAATGAACTTCTTCAATCAATGCATCCAGGAGTTCATATGATCATAGTCCTCTATCTCCATCAAGATCTGATGACTGCACTGTACACCCACAATCACAATAAGAACTACACAAGAATATTTTTGAACAATACACTTACTTGCCACACCATTTGTGGACTATTCCTGCAAGAACAACTTGCTCCTCATTATCTGCAATGTAAGGTCCAATGCCATATATAACACATTGGTAGTGACCATCTGCACATCATGCAACCTCTGGAGTAGTCATGGAAGGCCTTAGGCTCTTGAGGATCTGAATGAGCACAGTATGAAAAAGTTCCTTCTGAATTTGTGATAGCATGGATCAGTGCCTTCTTTTTTTGTTGCTGAAGCATATCAATTAGTTTGAGTAACATACTTTTTGGAATTGCAAGGGATTCCCACAAGAACAAACAACTTTCCATGAGCCCACCTGGCATTGTGCAAACATGCCAATCAATAAATACAGGGGGTAGTAATCATTTTGACCCATGACAACTGAAACCATTGTTTTGTCACTTTCAAGAATAATGGGAACAAAGGTTGATCCATGGGTTGCTAGGATCTGCAGAAATAATATTCTGACAGTTGGGGTGAGCAATGATAGTGTGGTGAAAGGAGGAAAAATATTACTACTTTTCCCAAGCCCAGTCTCTGGACATAAAATCTCTCCACCAACAGTTATGACTTCCATCAGGCTGCTCCTCTCATTCACAATATGGTGCAAAATCCACCTCATCCTTGAAGTCAGGATTGGGCAACACATTCTGCACAACCTTGTAAGGGTCATAATAGAACACCTTGTACACCTTGTTCATCCAGGGTGTTTCTCTGCCTGACTTGTCATTCATATACTCCATTTTGAAACACTCCCAAGGCACATCTCCAAGTGGACATTATTTAAGTCTTTGTGATTAGAAAATGGTGGGCTATCACCATGAACAGCAAGAGTGATACCCCCAAAATGAAGGAGCTTGTCAATATCAGTGCCAGAAATATGTGTTTTTTAAAATAGAAATTCCACTGTCTCAAATGCCAGGCAATTGTGATATGGTGTCTAATAATTGGGGGACTTGTGGTGAAGACTGGTGGTGAAGTTTTGGGGTCAAGAAATTGACCAGCTTTATTACAAATGTGCCCTTAGAAAAAAAAGGCAAATATTAGCAAGAGTGAATGTTGGTTCACTCACCATCAAGGCTTAGATGATAGTCTCTTATGAAGTTCACTTGTCTGTGGTCATTTTCAGGCTGGTCTGGGACTTCTTCAACTGTGACAGAGGGTTGATGTACTGCATGCAAGTGTTGTGTGAGCACACACTGATTCTTTGGTTGGCAGCAGCAACCAGGATGAGTGTAAGGTAGTAGGTGGACATTGAATTGATGGTGTTGTGTTTGGGGCATTTTTGGGGTGGGGTTGGTAGTATCAAGGATGTATTCAGATTGCAACTGAGGTTGGTCTGTATCAGGTTGTCAGAGAAGGAATTATGGCATAATATACTAGTAGTACAAAATATTTAGTACCAAAACAAACTTTGAGTGAACTCTATTGTATCCCACATCATCCTTCTATATTTCTCACTGATGGCCATCACAACTAGACCTTCAAATGCAAAAAATGTGTTGTGAAGCCAATACTCAATGCCAAGCAGTGCCAGCACACCAAAGCTCATATTGAGGCTGATAAGCACATTGCTGAAGAGAAACAGAAGAGGATGAGACAAAAAGCACTGCAAGGCCTTGAGCAGATTGCTGGAATCCAGAACAAGGAAGCACTTACTGTCTTGAAGGCACAAACAGCTCCTAAACCATACCTCTGTCCATATCCTCAGTGCAGTCACTTGAAGCCTAGTGCTACTCTGAGTTTATCTAGAATGTTGACATGACCAATATGGAGGTGGAAAAAGTTGTTGAAGAGGAAGTGCTCAACCTCCAGGATAAAAACACCCCAGTGAATCAGAATCAGACCTCAAAGACAAAGAAGAGGGATAAAATGCCTCATAATGATGCCATTGATGCTATTCACAATGCTTCACATCAAGATAGTCACACTGCACATGCATTAGACACTGACAAGAAAGGCAACTTGTTAAAAATATTCTTACCTCCTGTTCACAAACAATCATACAGGCCAACTAGAGGATGATAGAATGGCAGGGTGGAATCACATCTGCAAGCATCAGAATGATCACAAGTCTTGTTACTTCTGACAAGGCATATGCAACAGAGGATGAATGTCGTCAACTTGGGGAATTTTGGCTGTAAGAGAGTAGCAAATTACAGTGCATTAATACTCTTTTAAGGTGGTTTCAGGACTTTACTGGGATTTGGAAATCTCCATTTATTTTACAAAAATCCATGGCCCACTTACACTACATTTTAGACACTATTAAAATACCTGCACTTGACAGCAACAATTTCTGTCCCAGTGTTGCCCTTGCTCTTGCAGCTGTTGTGGTACATTGTGCTGACTTGCCTTGTGTTAATGAGAAATAACCTGGACATTTAGGTCAAATGTGCCTTCACACTTCTTGCTGAAAACAGCATCACCTTTGAGGTTGTTGAACCTTCTGAAAAGGGTAAGAAGAAAGCCATTGATCCACAGGAAAATGGAAAGGCTAGTGTGTATGAGGCATTTTCAAAGGAACACTAGAGACATGATGCCAACCACCTGCTTAAAGCAATGAAGTGCATTCCAGAGGACACATGTCATGGCATTATTGCTAAAGCATGTCAGTTCATAAAGAACTCAGGACATAAGCAGAGGGGCACTTCAAACTCTAATGATGATGACAACAGTACAGAGGATGATGTGGCTGACAACCACAACACAGAAGATGAGTATACAGACCTCTTCACATTCCGATAACATTTTTGTAAGGACCTGTGCACCCACTCCATATTTCCATGACTTATTTGTCCTACAAGAAACATCATTTTCTACATGGAATTTCTGGCATCAACTTGTGCATTTCCTCCTTATCTGCTGGCTTGTCATTTCTCTATCCTTCTCTCTACTTTTTTAATACATGCCTTTTGTGTGCCATTTTTCCCATTGCAATTTTCTGCAGCTTGTGCTATGCTAATTGTCCATTTCTACTCCATTTTACTAGACCACCTTAATTTGTTTTCTCAATTGCTTTATCACTCTTGGACTCTACTAGTTTAGTGCTTATAGAATTGCTTGTTTTGCCTTAAAAATTTGATACTTGATGACCTTGAACTTAGTTTGTCTTGATCACACTCTCAATGGATTAAGTCATTCAAGCTTGATCAAATTGAATTTAGATAAATTAGGGTTTTCCTGATGGTCCAACATCTAACATATACTGCAAATAATTATTGAGCTCAACCATCTCTTCAGTGGTGAGGTTATCAAAAGTTGACACAATCTCCTTGAATTTTTCTTCATGGTGTTAACCACCAAAAGTGTTGACTGTGATGACAGCTGATTGTTGTTCCTGCAATGTACAGTGCATAGTACTGCCAACCAAGGCCATCACATATCTCATAGCCTTCAGTAATAAGTTGTCAAGAAAGACTTCACATCCTGAGTGCCACACAAATCAAATGACACTGGCCATAATAAACATATTTTGAAATTTTGCATCTACAGTGATATTCCCATGCTGAAAAAACCCTATAGTCAGTATAAAGTGTTAGAAACTTGTAAGATCAACATACCTCATCTACAGAAGTTGTGTGCATAGAGAGTAAAAGGTCAGCGCCCCAGATCAGTTTGTTCACCATCATTATGTGACGGTATTCTGCTGTTGCAGTGCCCCCTCATAGGGGGAACAGCTTGTATAATACAATGATGCCATCACATGAAAATTGAATGATTTTCCTGTGTGTGCTAAATAATGTGTTCAAGACCTGTCTAAGGTGGATATTATTGATAAAAAATTTGACCACAGCTATGAATATCAGTGGAATGATATGAAGGATATGAGAATAAACTCACAATTAGCCTCCAAAAATGAGGGGTTGAATCTTTGATTGTGTCCTCAAATTGAGTGATGTGGTTCTTTTACTTCTATATCATTGTGTGTTTGGTAAACATCACCCACATGATCAGAACCTTTGCCCCCTTCACAGCACAAGTGATATTGTCTTTGGACACATGTATGGTCTTTGATATCACTGCCAGATGTTCAATGATGGGTGTCTGCAGTCCTGTGGTGTTTGTCTGCAGTTTTGTGATGCTGTGAGGGGCTTGCAGCACAAAGTATGGTGTTCTGGGCAATGTAGCCCCAGTGTTGCATTTCTTTGTAGTGGGTGCTGGCCCCCCCTATCTGTGCAACTGTTAGATAGAATGAGTGAAAAAGAGGGAATTCACATGGACAACCTCATGAGGGATCTCCCCTCACTGGATCAGCATTAGATCCATGGCCAGAGGGATAAAATCATTCCCTCAGTCTATGATACCAACTCCTTTGTCAGGTGCTTCATCAACCCATTGTAGTAATGATATTCAATGCACATGGGTGTTGCCCTCCTGCAGGCCCCTATGCATTTCAAAGTTAGGTAAGAGTGAGCTGTTATCAGAGAACATGTTCTGTGGAATTTAATTCCTGGTAGAACTCAAAGTGTACAGCTGATCCCCCATGGAGCTAAATTGGCCCTGACCATAAGTGTTGCCCTTATAGATGGATATACCATCATTGTCATTGTCATTGTTATTGCCATCAGGGAAGAGTTCAGGCTGCATAAAATGATTGTTGTAGGGGGGTTGAGGTTGTATGAATTGAGTGCCAATGAATTGGGGCTGTGTGAAATAAGTCCTGGTATAGTTATAGGCATGCTGCATATCATTATATTGCTCCCTGCTGGGGCCAGATGTGTACATGTCCTCATAAGAGGCTTGACTGCCTTCCTACATGTCATCTTGACTCTTTTCATGTGGATTGAAACTAAACACTGACATGGAAGGTTGTTCAGCTGCAATGTTGAGTTGTTTAGCAGCTGGAAGTCCTGATGGTTTGAGCCCTGATTCTCTAGCTGGCTTGGGCATGGCAGCCTTGCCCTTTTGTTTTAAAAGACAGTTAGTTGACATACAGGTGGTGGTCAGAAGAAAAAAGAGCTGGCAATTGAAAACACACTGTGGGAAAAATAAGTCCTGGAGTGGGTGGGACAATTGTTGGGTCTTTCTGCCTGCTGCTATATCTGCAAGGAGGTGCATTCAACCCTAGAGGGTTTCTGGACTAAAGCTAGATAGTACTCATACAGAATAGAATATCATCATAAAAGTTAGTCACTCCAGATTGATGCTAGTAACTGGTGAAGAATTAATTGCTTATCTGAGCAGTAAAAATGCAAAGACAAACTAAGGAAAGTGGTGTATAGAAAACTAAGTAAAAACCCTAAATATCAGCCCAGCCAGATACTGACCCTCATACTGGGACAATGTCATAATAATGGGTGAGTCTATGGAGAGAAGAGTGGTGTGATCCAAGATAATGTTGTGCAGCCCTGCGAAGAGGGTCCTTGTGCTTATTCATGGAGAAATCCATTAGTGCAAATTTATTGGTCTCAATGCAAGAATTGTGTGCTCTTGACCACTTGTATCCCCACCTTGATGCTTCAGCATGTCCACCAACATAACATAAGCCATTGCAAAGTCTTTAGCAACTGGAACAATTTCTCCATTAGGTATATACTTTCCCCTTTGGTACATAACTCTTACTTCCTGGATCACTGGTTATCCCTATAGCCATCTGATTACTGATCTGTCTCGTACATATTGATATGCACTCCGACATGTATGTTTCCCTCAGTAAACTTACTTACATTCTGTACACTCAGCACATAGCTTGCTGATATGCATTACTGATCACTGCCTCCTCACTTAGAAGTATATAAACATATCCTGTACCTTTGTAGTTTCCTGAGTCTTAATATTACTTGTCTTCCCTCAGTTTCTACTGTGGGAACTCTTCATAGGACTTTGCTCACTTCAGACACAAGTCTCATCTTGTCATTGCCTCTGCTCCTCTACTCCTCTGCTCCAACTCAGAGCCACGCTCTAAGTTATTATACTTACCTCCCTCTGTCCAATATATCCTTACCTCCTTCCACTTGATCCCTTCCACTCCAACACACTTCCTCCACTCCATCCACCCCGCTTCCTAGTTGGCCTGCCACTAGAAGCCTTTACTTCCTGACCCTTAAAGTGATCCAAAGTGGTCCCATTGTCCTATTGTTGGACAACATTGATTCTGCTCCAAATTTGGGGCATGTACTCAGCTAAGGGTGCAGCGTAGGAGCTGAAGCCAAGCCCCAACCCCTTCACTTCTCCATCTGAACACTGTACCTAACTGTCACGAATTCCTAATACAAACCATTTTTCGTTTCTCGGTTTTCCTTTGGCTACTTC